AAATAAGATTTATTTATTCAACAATATTGGAAGTAACTGAGACGTTCTTAAGATTTCTTTATTTGAATATAAAGGGTAACTTATATATTTTTTTGATAAGTCAAGCAAAACACGGGGCATGTACCTGCAACAGAATTTACTTTTTGTTACCGCCTTTGATGAAATCGATATTTTTGGTCCCTTATAACGCAATGGATTTATAAAAAAAAGTTGTTTAAAGGAGTTTATAAAAAAATATATTCTGGGGTTGGGTGATTATATTTCCCACATATTACCCATTTCAAAGATCTAAAATGAGTGCAAATTCAATAAATATACACCGAATGTTTTCACGCGGAATTTTTCACACGGTTTTAATTTAACACGGTTATTTTCTGGAACCAATTTACATTGTAAAAACAGAATTAGGTGTACTTACAATTGTTTACTTGAATGGTGTACGGTATGATAATGATAGTTTAAGATAATATCAAAAAAATAAATAAATTGAACTCGACATAATAACAGACAAACGAACTCTTGTAAACTCACGTTCGCGCATACAAACAGTTCGAGTGCGTTTCTTCGTTAGACAGTCGCGCAGAGACAATGGCCACATAAGCAATTAGCCAAACCAGCTTGCACATTAGTACTAATGGCTAATGGAATCTTTATTCTTTGGATTGTTGCGAGCTCATACAAACAGAGTGATCTTTTGATGGTACTACCAAAGACAATATAAACACTGAATTTTAGTCACTTTATGATCAGATACACCATATACTAAGAATTTGGAAAAGGTTTCTTATTGGGTTCATATCTGGCACATTGGCTATGACAAAATAGTTAATTTTGCCATTGTGACCATGCTTGGAGAGTCTCTTGCTAAGCAGAAAATTCAAACGCAGAATCTCTATGTACTCAGAGGAATCAATGCGAGTACTTGGAAAGGTTAACTTCAAGCAACAATCACAGAAAGCACTCTTAAAGCATAAGGGAACAGCCTTCAAAGTTTCCTTTTGAAAAAAAAATATAGTCCGCAACGCAAAAGATTCGATTATTTGGTGCTAACAAAACCTTTAGATAAATATACACATTTTTCAGATTTGTGGTCATATTTTTATCTACAAATTATAGACGAGCTGTCTTGTGATGGTCTAGCAAACTTGTAGTAGATTTAAGATTTTGTATTTCGATCACTTTGCACTGCTTGAAAGCATATGTAATGGTCCAGCTGTACTCCCTAAGCTAACAGTCAAGGGCAATTTGATTGGATGTCTGCATTTAGTTTTTGCTAACATAATTTATTAAACATTGCTTGTCTCGGTCAGAAACTTTTGTTTTGACTTGTGCATCGAGATCCCCTCTCTGTAAAATGCACGTATTTTCCCTCATTCCTCGTCAGTATGGTATAATCCACGCGACACGTTCTTATTTTATTAATTTTAACTGAATATTTAATGCAAGCAATTATTTAAATGAATCTGCTTTTTTTAAACTGCCAAGAGCTGTTAGAAGCTGCTTCATATTTATAAATGGGATTTTTCTGGTGACTGGATCAAGGAAAACGGGACTTTAATACCGCTTTAAATATCTCATTTCCTTGTCAATTCCATTGTTGGTGGGAATCTAAATGGCTTGAGAATGCCACTCGGAATTTAATGTTTTTACCTTCAATTGAGCTTAGTATTAAAAACAGTAATAAATCCAGTTGACATCTTGCCTTAACTCCTAAAGAAGTAAGGGTGACTTGCAATTTTCAGAACGGAATGGACGAATAGAATTAAAAAACTCTTGCGCCTCTCTACCGTGTAGTGTAGTACATCACAAGGTAAGCCTACTCCATATTGGTCTGACAAAGACCTTTGCGTAGGTATATATTTATTGACCAAAAACAATCAAGTCCATTTTGTTCAAAACTGTGCAATGCTTTCGGAGAAGAAATTTTTATCTTCGAGCAACAGCATATTTCCCTGAAACCCTTCATCGACTCATATGGATTCTTCCGAGTCAGAGGTTCGGAATCAGGGAAACCCAGCAACATAATCCATTATCAAAAAATTCTTATTTCGAAGCCTTCAGGGTGCCTATCATATTCGCCAACTAAACAGCTGAGCACTTTGACAACCATGATAAATAAGTCCTTCATACTTGATATTATAAATATTCCAAATTAATTTTTTTTTTTAATATCAACTGTGAGGTATACATTTTGTACAGACCTTTGCTTTGTCATTTCAATTGGTATTTACAAAATTTTTTAATTAGGCACTGAGAAAGCAATATCCTTACGTAGAACAATAAATATATGCAAAAATAAAAAGTTAAGAAAAAATAGTTTAAATCGGTGAAATATAAGCTTACAAATTTATTTGATAATTTTCATTTCGCAAACAATTACTTCACAAACTGTAGATTTTATTCTAGAAGCTATATGTCAAGTTTGGCGACTCCAGCTCTTAAAACCTAGAGATTTGCGAAAAATACACGATTACGATATCAATTTTGAACGATTATTTGAAAACGGGGAAGTTATCGATTATCAGAAACTAACTCGTACTGCGCGGGCATTAGGAGGACCTAGGGTCGAAATTTCAAGTCTCCAGCTTTTATATTCTAAGAACCTTGCGTTCATACATACGGACGGACAGACAGACAGCATGCCTAAATCGAATGGCCTGTTGATGGTGATCAAGAATATATATACTTTATGGGGTCGGAGATTCTTGCTGCTGCCTGATACATACATTTTCACAAATACATTATACCCTTATTACCCACTTTCAATGGCTCCTGGGTATACAAAATATCGCTCCCGTGCCAATGCTAACATTTTAAATTGCAACATCAAATAGAATGTAACTCGCTCCTGATTTTATTCCATAATAATGACACTAACCTGTATAGATTATATACGTACATATGTACAGTATGTCAATAAAGTGTTTTTACTAACAAAAAAAAACTAATTTTTTGGGTTTAGTTGAAAATAAATGTACCTAAAAGTGAGAATTTTTTTTCAATTATAATTTATTTCGATTCTATATTTCTCCTAGAACTTAATGGCAAAAAGAATTGTTAAATAACATTACCCAAACATTTTATAAAATTAAAAAACTAAAAACATTCACATTTTATGCTGTCAATAAAGTGTTTTTACAGCTACGGTAAATTGTTTTGCCGTTCTCTTTTGGGTGATCCCGTTAGATTTGGGCCCATGCGTTTTGGCTTCTCTTGTGTCTTCGACTTTTCTTGTCATTTTCTATTGCAATTTATAACGTTTTGCTTTAATTTTATGAAAAATAAAATGCCAGGAAAAAGAACAACTTTTGAAGTCGCTCAGCTGGTGTATTATAACCATCAGATGGGACGTCAAGTCTCGGAACTGGCTGATATGTTTAATTTATCAAAAGCAACGATATACAACATATTAAACAGAGCCAATAAGGAAGATAGGCTAGAGGCAAAGCCAGTATGTGGTCGACCCTGCAAAATTTCTGACAGAGATAAGCGAAAAATTCTGAGAAAAATTGAGAAAAATCCACAAATTTCGCTTAGGGATATTGCTCAGGAGTTCAAGGAAGAAAGTGGTGTTGATGTGTCACATGAAACTGTCCGAAAATTACTGAATTCCAATGACTACACATCACGAGTTGCCAGGAAAAAACCTCTACTATCGGCGGCGAATATTTTGAAGCGGCTATCGTTCGCTCAAGTCCATGTAAATAGTTCGAACGATTTTTGGAGTAACGTCATATTCTGTGACGAAAGCAAGATGATGCTATTCTACAACGATGGGCCATCCAGAGTCTGGAGAAAGCCACTAACAGCGTTGGAAAACCGCAATATTATTCCAACCGTTAAATTCGGAAAACTATCAGTGATGGTGTGGGGGTGTATTTCGAGCAAGGGTGTAGGAGATTTGACCTTCATTGAGAATACCATGGATGCTAGACAATATCTGAGCATTTTACAGACACATCTCGTCAGTAGTGCACAGAAATTTGGATTCTATGAGGACAATAAGCCAATTTTTAAATTTTACCAGGACAATGACCCGAAGCATAAAGCTCATATGGTAAGAGTTTGGCTGTTGTACAACTGTGGAAAGGTGTTAGACACTCCACCACAAAGTCCAGATATGAATCCAATAGAAAATGTGTGGTCATATTTGAAAAAAAAAGTCGCAAAGCGGAGTCCAAAATCAAAAACTGATTTAAAAGCTGCTGTACTGGAAGAATGGCAGAAGATTCCAGAAACATACATACAAAACCTTATTGTTTCAATGAAACGGCGATTGCAGGCTGTATGTGACGCTAATGGCAGCCACACAAAGTATTAAAAAAAAATATTCCTGTTTTTTTAACATTGTTATTTAGTAATAAAGTTTCGTGTAAAAACACTTTATTGACAGCATAAAATTTGAATGTTTTTAGTTTTTTAATTTTATAAAATGTTTGGGTAATGTTATTTAACAATTCTTTTTGCCATTAAGTTCTAGGAAAAATATAGAATCGAAATAAATTAGAATTGAAAAAAAATTCTCACTTTTAGGTACATTTATTTTCAACTAAACCCAAAAAATTAGTTTTTTTTCGTTAGTCAAAACACTTTATTGACATACTGTATGTATATTGTTCACAATTTTTTTAAATGCACAAAGTGTACAAAATTACCTTGACCCAAATCGGCATGCGTCAAAATAATCATGGACACTTCCTTTTATTTGTAGTCGCCGATTTTCTGTATACATATGTATTTACTGTTTATGTGTATATAAATATTTTTATGTACACATGCAGATGTTTGCTTATGAAATAAGTACTTTCTTATTTTTTGTTAAAATAATTCATAACTATATTTCCTTTTATACATAATGTAATGTATTTCAAATTTCTATTTCTACTTTTATCCATACGAATACTTTAATACATACAAGACTTCATAAATTTATATAACGCTTAATATTCATATGTCAAAACAATTATACATATATAAAGTGGGAAGAGTTATTTACTCACGCGTGATTTACATAAGTACACTATTTACTGTCATTTTGAAGCCCATATAGCATAAAGAACATTTTGTTATCTTTTACATTAGTTGACATACACTTTTCAAATAACTTTAACTGTAAAAAATTCTCTTAAAATTATTAAAAACTATAAATTTATACATTTGCGAATTTTGTTTTCTGCATGATAGGCAACCAAATTGCTTGGTTTATAATCACTTCTTATTATGGCAAAAGTTAAATTTTCTCGAAAAGATCAAGCAGCTAAAGCACTATCGATTATATAATCGATTATAGCTGGTACTACTATTGGAAAACAACTTGTTCCCACAACAGTTTTAAACTTTGCTAACCAATGTTCATTTTCAACACGAATGGAGTTTTTTTTTAAATTAATTTAACTAATCTACGAAATTCGAAGCACGATATGCTATTATCAACTTATTTGTCAAATTTTATTGTTGGTAGCATCGAAATCACTACGCAACAGCATTTACCGATTTTTAGCTAGCACATATTTTTTTTTATTGATTCTTAGCCTTTTTAAAAAATCTACTTTTGCGCGGTTATGTTTTCTTAGAAACAGTACAAAATTTAGAAATTTTTAAAAATATTTCGATTGATATCGGTAGTCTGCAAGCATCATGCGTATTAGTTATAAGTAAGGCAAAAATAATAAGAATGAGTAGGCACGGAGCCGACGTATTGAATTTAGTTAAGGGCATAGAATAATTTTGAAGTTAAACGCCGCCGAAGTAACCGTGCGTTGCTGATCACCGCCCTTGAAAGCGCAACTTCACTTCGGTGGCGAAGAGTGAAAGCTCCGAGGCGAAGTTGCGAAAGCTCGTGGCGATGTTGAATGGCCGAGGAAAGCGCACGGAAGCGAGCGTGCCTTCGCATTTATTGAGACGCTCAATGTGAGTAGAGTGTACAGTAGAGTGTGAGTAGAGTGTGAAAATAGTTAAAAATTGTATAATGTTTTTGTGCAAATGTAAATGTATGTAACAGGCAGAAAGAAGCATCTTCGATCCCATTAAGTATGTATATTCTTGATCGACTCGGCTATTGATGCTGGCCGAGTCGATCTATCTATGTCCGTTAGTCCGTAAATATGAACGCAAGGATATCAGAACCTATAAGAGCTACAGACTTGAAATTTTAGCTGTAGATCCCTCTAGTGTCTGCGCAGATCGAATTCGTTTTCAATAATCGATATCCTACTCCGCTTCCAAGCAATCGATACAAATCGGTATCGACATCCTATTTTTCGAGCAAATTGGGTAAATAATAGGAGTTAGCTTCTAGAATATTAAATATATGTCAAGTATCTTTCATGTTACACCTATCGCAACCTTCCCGCTAGCACCGGAGAGCTATAAATCAAGATAATAACCCAACTTTTAGTGGCAACCAATTTAAGCCACAATTTAAATGCAATTGACTTTTTGAGAATACACAATTTATTGAATGGTACTGTACCATATATACTAAGAAAAAACCAAAGTTATATGTAACTGCGCGATTAGATGGGGCAGCATTCGAAAATGCCAAGAATTTTTCTATGCATGTACACACACACATTCATGCGCGTCTGCTTCGAATTCTATCAACAATTGCAATTTCGATTGATTTCTGTGTTGCTATTTAAATTCGTTGTTTTCTCAGTGTTATACAATTGTTGGTGTGGCTGTAGTAGAGGCATAGCAAGTGGTGCTGTCTGTCGCGAGTTCGAGCCCTACCTATTGTTTTCTTTATTTGTTTAGCTGGTGTGTCTGTTGAGTAGAGTCGTCAGCAAGTACTGTCTTCAGCTGTGAGTTCGAACCCTGCGAAGGGAACTTGTTTTTTTTATTAATTTATCTTTATTACTTCAAGCTAGCGCCTTTCGCGAACTGCATTTGGTGTACGAGGGTTCGGGGTAGAATTAGAACCCCTTACTTGTTTTGTTTTCCATATGTACTTATTGCGAGCATCGTGGCAATCCGGTGTTCAACATAGCCTGACCTAAAGTGTGGTGTCTATTGGAACGAGGCCTAGTCCCGCCACCTGTGAGGTCAGTTCCGACACTTAAGATAACTCCCACCATATCCATCGATTTCTGAAGGCTGACTCGACTGTTCTGAATATGCGCTACGTTTTCATAAGGCTTGTCTACACGCGAGTGAATGTGTACTCAACTAACAAGATTGTATCGACACCGTCGATTGCGACTGAACCTCGAAGGCATTCTCAAGAGGCTGGTGGATGGACACATCACCATAAACTTTAAATAAATAATACGGGCTTAGCCCGTTTGAAGCATTTCTTCGCTTTAAGCACCCGTCCCAGAAAACTTTCAAAGGTCTTGTAACTTGCTGGCCCTGGTTAAACTGAGAGTTGTACACCGGCCTCCTCCGGCTCCTTTTTAAGTGGCGCCCGAGCAGGGACCAGAGGGAGCTTAAGGGCGTGATGTATTTGCGGATTAAAGACCCGCAAGTATGCCCAAACAAGGGTTTTTAAGAAAAATAAGATGTATAGAGCAACCTATGGTATTTTTAGGCAGGCCTACCCTAGAGCAGATCTCCCAAAGCAAAAGATAAGGAGAAAAAATATCATGTTCAGATAAAATATAAATTTAGGGTACTAGGTAGTTGGGCATGCTAGTTGTCAGAGTGAATTTCTGCAAGAGTTAGGTAACGAATATGTGTGTGGACGACGTCGAAACCACGCTAGCATACGGCGTCGAAATGCCGTAAATTCGTCGTGGAAGCGTCTGTACAGTGCGACGAATTCAGCTCACGTGCGGTGAAAAGTTAAATCGTCATCACAGTCAGCAAAACCGTAACAATGGGTAACTTTTTTTGGGGAAATTGAACGATTATGCAACAAACTATGAAAAACAAGCCTGTACGTGAATAAATGAAGAATAATAAACAAGTATAAATTAAGAACGGCGGAGTAAAAATATATATGTACATATCGGGTCTTTATTGTGGACGACACTGTAGTAGAACATTTTTGTAACTATTGGCGACTGCGCCATGTTCCGTTATTCGCCAGATGGCTAGCTTAGTTCGATGCAGCTGTAGAGAAATGTTGTGTACGTGCCAAAATAATGTTAGACTGAGGTTTGAAGAAAGAGTTACGCAGGAGATAATTGTTGTGCGCGTAATACTTAGTCACTGAGAGAGAAAGAGATAGCAGTAGTGCTATAGAGTTAACAGGAAGCGTGTGAGCAAGGTTGCATGGAAGATGCGAATTTTAGCGTTTTGTCAATTGAACAGAACAGTGCACTCAGTACTCTTCGCCATAGACAATTAATAAAAAATAATTAAAAATGATAGCAACCCGCAAGAAATCCACAATGACAACCCGACATCAGAACTGACTGCATTGTCTACAGATCAGTGGTGTGTTATTTTTGGAATCGGAATTTTATGGAAATGTGTACAACATGAGTACAGAGCAGATAGCTGTATCGACTGTGCTTGCGCACGTGGTAAATTTCGACAATCGTTTGCAGCGCTTGGTGTTCTCGCCCAATATACACTTTAAATGGAACTGAAGGCATTTTCATTTGATAAAAAGCGCAGTGCTGAAAATTCTGATGGAGCTAGTGGTGACTACAAGCGAGCAAAAATTGTGTGCCACTTATGCAAGAAAACAGGAGACAAAATGGCGGACTTTACAGTCCTCAAACGTTCTGGATCGGAAAATAAACCACATCGAGCCCTGTAATATCATTCGACCAAGTTGTTCTCCCTAGTCATATATTATTAGTTAAAAAGAAAAATAAATGAGCCTGCCTTTGCATTGATTATCGGGAGCTAAACCAATACGGTTACTGATAGGTTTCCTTTGAAACTTATTATTGACCCAATTCCTCGACTCAGGGGCTCAAAGTATTTTACGGGTTCAGATATGGCGAGCGGGTACCATCAGATTCCAATTCACCCCGATTCTATTGAATATACTGCGTTTGTAACACCTGAAGGGCAATACGAATATTTGACAATGCCATTTGGCCTAAAAAACACTCCGTCCGTTTTCCAGCGAACCGTTCTAAGCGCTTTGGGAAACCTAGCACATTCCTACGTGATAGTGTACAAGGACGATATCATGGTAATATCATTCTCATTCAATATTGCTAAATGTGGGTTTCTAAAAACAACTACAACCTAATCCGCGAAAAATTCTTGCGCTAAGTTCTTTGGCACCGCCATCAACAATAAGTAGTGTGAGACAATTTAGTGGATTGGCATCTTATTTCCTCAAATTCGTGCCTGAATTCACTCAGATTATGAAACCGATATATTCACTAACTCCGAGGAAAAACGTTTTTAGTTGGAATGATGAATTGGAAGCAATTAGAAAACAAATCATTGCGGTTCTTACAAATGAGCCAATGCTTATAAAATTTGATCCACAGTATCCGACAGAACTAAACACCGATGCAAGTTATCATGGTCATGGCGCTATGTTATTGCGTCGGATCAATGGCAATCCTCACGTAGTCGAATATTTTAATAAAACAACTTCCCCTGCTGAGTCCAGATACCATTCTTATGAATTGGAAACATTGTCAGCTGTTAAGTCTGTTAAGCATTTTCGGCATTATTTGCTTGGTTGTGAATTGTTGTGTATACAGATTGCAATTCGCTCAAAGTATCGAGAACAAAGATGGATCTAACGCCAAGGCTGCACTGCTGGTGATTTCAAGATAGATTATAGAGAAGGAAAGCGTGTGGCGTACGTAGACTTTTTATCCAGAAATCATGTACAAGAGACGACTAAAAATCAAGCGTGTAAATTGTCCGAAAAGCGTGTAAATTTGATTGAAATCTCGACCGATTGGTTTGCTGCTGAACAGCGACGAGATTCTGAAATTACCGACATTATAAATAAACTTAACAGTAATGAATTGACTGATAATGTTGCACAAACTTATGAATCGAGAAAAGGCGTTATGTTTTGCAAAATTCAAAGAAATGGAAGGACACGATGTTTGCCTGTGATACCGCATCCGTTTCGATGGTCCGTGATAAATCAAGTTCACGAATCGATCACTGCACTTGGGATAGAAGAAGACGCTTGACAAGACCTACGAATATTATTGATTTGCTAAAATGAATAAATTTGTTCGAAATTTGTCGATAGTTGCATAACAAGCAAAACAGTGGAGGGTTCATCTGGTAAAATGCAAGTTGAGTTACACCCAATCCCAAAGTCGAACATTCCATGGCATACGGTGCATATCGACAT